TCAGGGCTGCCCCCCCTCCGCTGCTGGGAGCTGTCAGCCCCTCAGAGCTGGGCCCCTTCCTCCAGTTCATGCCTCTACCCAGAGAGGCCTGCTTAGATGAAAAGTCTGTTGCCGGGATCTCACGCCCTGCCTCCACTCTGGGCCACCTGTATTCCCTAGCTCCAGAGCTCTCTGAAGGGAAGACTGAGGCTCCCACTGCACCCTCCCTGAGGTCAGTACCTCCTCCCCCAGGTGCCTCCTCCCTCCTTCCAAGCTGGCCTGAGCCTGAAGGTCTCCATGGAGAGTTGGATTCAGAGAAGCCATCTATGAGTCTGCTGTCCCCACCTCTGGCATCAGGACCTGCGGGGGCCACTGTGCACCTGAGAGCTCTGTTTCCCTCCTAAATTCCCAGTGTGCACACCACGTGTCCCCGAAGATCTGTTGGTTCCCTTCTTTTTTTTTCCTGCATTTTTTTGCAAAAAATAATGAGCCTCATATCCTAGGAGCTCTCAGTTCTCAGAGAGCCGAAGGCCAGATCCAGGCTGCAGGTGAATCCCAGCATAGAGGAGCCTCGGCCCCAGCTGCTCCGTGACATGCACCTGGGGGCTGCACTCCACGCCCCCACCTCCATCTCCTCATCTGCACACTCTGTCTATTCATCCCTGACCAGAAACGCAGATGGAGGTGACTCAGTGAGTTCCGGGAGTCACAGTAGACACTGAAGCCTCCACCACGGTTCAGTTCATTTACCTTTTTTTATTTACTTATTTTTCTTTCTTTCTTTCTTTCTTTCTTTCTTTCTTCCTTCCTAAGAGATTTTGCTATAGGGCAACTGTGCTCGCCAGAAAGACAGAGAGAGACAGAGAGACAGAAAGTGAGAAATCACCCCCAAGGGAGATGCCCACACCACAATCCCTTCTCCTCCATTCTTATCTCAGGATATTGGACACGCATGCACACGCACCTAGCATGAGTTTAAGCCACCGGGTCCAGGACTCGAACCACAGTCGACTACATGGGAGTTCAACAACATAGCTGTCATGCCATCTGCTGGTCCCCATTTACCCTTTTCAATGTGAAAAGCACTCACATCTCCAAAGGCCATGCAACTTACAAATAAATTTTTCAAAGGAATAAAATAGGCAGTAGGCAGAGATGCAGTGGGAGCACAACTGGATCCCCATTGGAAAGGGCCTGGGTTTGGGTCCCAGTTCTCCTCTGAGCACGCTGGGTGCCAGTGTGCGTGTCTATGCCCCAGGGGGGCTGAGATGAGGGGACTGTGGTGTGAAGACCATGTTGGAGGTGCTTGCCCTTCTGTCTCTCCCATGAAGAAATACAAAAACTTAATATGAATTTTAAATAAGGAACCAGCAGATGCCCCAGTATTAATGAAGATCAGTAATGTTTTAGTCAAAAGTCATAAAATTCTACTTCACCAATTCAGACTCATGTACTTTATATTTAGTTGTGGTCCGATCTTTCTGTTTAAATTCTGGAATATAATGTGCAGCTCTGGACTTGTCCCTACCACTAAGCTGGCCATTTTCTCATCATTTATGAACTCTTATTTCTTTGTCTTACTTTAGTTTTCGTGTTATAGCACTCCCTTCAGAACTTCTTGGAGAACTGGTCTGCTGTCTAAATTATTTCAGGTTTTGTTTATCTGAGAATTTTCTTGTCTTCTCTTCACATATGAAGGCTAATCTTGCCAGATATAGTATTCTTGGTTGCAATTATTTTCACTGCACACTTTGAGTATATTTTTCCATTTTTTCCTTGCTCAAATTGTTTCCAATGAGAGGCCCACTGTTAGCCTGATGGGCTATCCCTTGTAGGTAACATGACATTTCTCTCTCGCCAATCTTATTACCTTCTCTTTGTGCATGGTTTGGCCAATCTGGCTATGATGTGCTCTGGAGAAGATTTTCTTGGGTTGATCATAATTGGGGCTCTTTGTATTTCTTGGGTCTGGATCTTTGAATGCCTCTCTAGGTTTGGAAAGTTTTCTTCCAGGATTTCATAGAATTGATTATCAATGCCCTTATTAGTCCCTTCACCTTCTGGGAAACTGATTATCCAGATGTTTGCAGATTTAATAGTATCTAGTGTTTTTCATATATTAATTTCAGTTTTGGGGATATTTTCTCAGTCTTCATGGTGGGTTTTTCTAGTCCAGTGATTCTGACTTCTACATCCAAGATTCAGGTTTATGTATCATCTAGTCTTCTTTTAATACTTTTTTTTTTTGGAGAGGTTTTCGCTATAGGGCGTGTGCGCTCGCCAGAGAGAGACAGAGAGATAGAAAGCGAGAAATCACCCCCCAGGGGGTGTCCTGGCCCGCAGGACGTATCAAGCAGGGAACCCAAGCGAGGGGGAGGAGGTCTGGAACTGGGGCAGCGTCTCAGCACGGGAGCGAAAGAAGTGTCACAGCTCTTGATGGTATGAAGGTTTCGCTCGTTTATTGAAGGCCAGAGCACACAAGGCAGGAGAAAGTAGGCGGGGTTTACAGCGGACCTAATTGAGGACCTGTCTGTTTTGTCTGAACCAGGAAGTTGTCTGTCCCTGGAGCAGCGGCCATTTTGTAATGTGAAGGTCATGACAGCCATTTTGATGTGGGTGGCTTCCCACAAGGGGGGATGGACATGCCGCAATCCCTTCTCTTCCAGTCTCCTCTCGGGATCTTGGGCACGCACGCACACGCGCCCGGCATGAGTTTTAAGCCACCGGGTCCAGGACGCAAACCGCGGTCGACTACATGGGAGTCCAGCGACATAACCATTACGCAAACTGCTGGTTCCCCATTTCGTCCTGATTTCTAAAAGTTCAATCTGAGCATTCAGAGGCGTGCAGGAGAAGGTCATATGCAAACTCTTTGCCATTCCATTTTTCTCCCACTGTGTGAATTGAGAAATATGTTGACCCTAATAGTATTCAGATGTCTGGCTGCAGTTCACAGATCTGCTCAGTGCATGGTAGCTGAGCAGCAAATTGATGAGGGAGAAGGAAAAGGATAAGAAAACTGAGAAAGAGGGGGGAAAAAAGTATATTTCTTTCTTTTAGAAAACAAAAAATGAAAACCACATGCCCCATGAGCAAGCCGTGCAAATGTACTAGTTCTCAACTATCATGGAGGACTCAAATTTTCTTCTAAAGGTCTGCCGTTTTTGCCTCTCCTAAATGGGAGTTGGGGGACTAGCAGTTAGTGTAATGGCTATGTCGTTGGACTCCCAGGTAGTTGACTGTGGTTCACATCCTGGACCCCGTGGCTTAAAACTCACACCGGGCGCGTGTGCGTGCATTCTCAAGATCCCGAGAGGAGAATGGAGGAGAAGGGATTGTGGTGTGGCTATCCCCCTGGGGGGTGATTTCTTGCTTTTTATCTCTCTGTCTTTTTCTGTCTGTCTGGCGAGCACACGCACCCTATAGCAAAAAACCTCTAAAAAAAAAACAAAACTGAATGGGAGTTGGGAAAGGGAATTATTAACAGGATAAAGGAGAATCTGAGAGTCAAGAAAATACTTTATCTTAAAAATACTAAAAAAAGAGGGGAACCAGCAGTTAGCGTAATGGCTATGTCGTTGGATTCCCACGTAGTCGACCATGGTTCGTGTCCCGGACCTGGTGGGTTAGAACTCACGCCGGGTGCGTGTGCGTGCATGCCCAAGATCCCGAGAGGAGAATGGAGGGGAAGGGATTGCGGCATGATCATCCCTCCTGGAGAGTGATTTCTCGCTTTCTGTCTGTATGTCTCTCTCTGTCTGTCTGGCGAGCGCACGCGCCCTATAGCGAAAACCTCTCCAAAAAAAAAAAGTAAAAAAATACTAAAAAAAGAAAAAATTTAAAAAATGAAACAAAGGAGAGCTTGGAGAGATGGAAAGAGATGAGAGAAGGATACATGGGACTCTGTCAGGGTTAATTCTCAGCAGAAAATCTTCATTTCTCTCATTCCCTGATAGCGCTAGTTCTCAGCTTCCATGAAGAACTTCCTTCATATTAATATTAAAGAATGAAGCAAAACTCGGATTACTAGCTACACTGGCATTACTGTGTCCAAGTTTGCAGGGTCTTTGTTATCATTCATGGGCCTGTAGCCAATAAAATGACTCTCTTATTATTATTTCTCCTTTACCTGTTTTTTCTTTCCTTGTATAAAAACAGCCTTGATTTCACAAAAATGGCATCCTGACTTTAATATTTAAGCACAGGGCCGGTAAAGTGGAGCCACATCAGTCCTCTGATCTTCCTGGTGTCACCCCCGACACAGCCTTTTCTATTTCCTACCCTGGAGGGAGCATCTCCACCTCTGTCCACAGAGCTCAGGAGGACAGGACACCTGGACACAGGAGAGAGGGTGGGATAAGAGAGCCCAGGAGCCCTGGGGAGAGAGGTTGAGGAGGGGGCAGATGCAGGAAGCTGAAGGCCACTGTGCACTGAGACTCCTGGTCCTGGGCTCCTCCCACTGCTGCCTGGGACTGTGGGGAAATCATGTCACCTCCCATGATGGTCCCTGGTCATAGATGAGAGAGAAGATGGTGCCTTAAGTTCAGGGCTGCTGGGGTTACTGGGAACATCTGGCTGAGGCGGTTCCTGGAAAACACTCAGCAAACTACCCAGATTGTGTGGGCAGGACTGAAGCAGTCCTGGTGCTTGAAGTAGTGACACATGTGGGTGACGTGAGTCCTGTGGACACGAGGGGGCACTGTGGGCCTTGGTTTGGGGACCCTGATACTCCAGTGCCCTGGAGGGGCTCAGTGCAGAGGGCATGACTGAGGTTCCCCTGAGGCTCTCCTGAGGGTGAATCCACTCTCCACTGACACCACCTGGCCCTTCCTCTGACGTCAGGAGTGAGTGCAGAGACCTCACCGCACACAGCATGAGGGCTTAGTGACATTTCATTGCATATAGAAAGTTGCTGGAAATAACATTTAGGTAGTCTTTTCACAAAAAAAAAAGAAAGAAAGAAAGAAAGAAAGAAAGAGAGGGGAAAGTTAAGATAATTTGAGAATATAGTAATTAAAGTAATTTCTCATCTATAGCTTCTCACTGGGTATAACGAACTATTACACAATTTCAATACACAGGATTTTTTTTTTAAAGAGAGCTTCTTGCTAAAGGACATGTGTATTCTCCACAGAGACAGAAAGCGAGAAATCACCCCGCAAAGGGATGATCACATCATGACCCCTTCTCCTCCATTCTGCTCTCAGGATTACGAGCACTCACGCACTTGTACTTGCCTTGAGTTTGAAGTGCCTGGGTCCAGGACTCAAACCACGGTCGACCATGTAGGAGTCCAGCAACATAGCCATTATACCATGTGCTGGGGTCCCCGTTTACACTATTTAAAAATAAGATTGCAAGGTCCAGCCACAGTGGGATACACCACTGAGATGCTCTGCTTTGCCGGCCAGGCCCACATATGAGGAGAAGGTCTGATTCTGGCCTATAGTAATTTCTCATCTGTAGCATTTCAGTGGGTACACAACTTCTATATACACCAATTTAAAAAATAAAATTGCAGGATCAGCAGTTAGCATATTGGCTATATTGCTGGACCCCTATGTAGTCGACTGCAGTACGAGTCCCTGACCCGGTGGCTTAAATACAAGCTGGGCACGTGTGCATGCGTGCCCAAGATCCTGAGAGGAGAATGGAAGTGATTTCTCGCTCCCTGTCTCTCTGTCTCTCTCTGTTTTTCTGGTGAGTGCACACGCCCAAAGGCAAGAAAAAACTCTCTAAATAAATAAATAAATAAATACATAAATACATAAATAAATAAATAAATAATAAAATTGCAAGGCTCAGCTACAGTGGGTTGGACCACTGAGATGCTGAGCTCTGAAGGCCAGGCTCACCTGTGAGACGCAGGTTTAATTCAGGTAAACTTGCGGCTGGGCGTGTTGGTGCATCAGAATAACGCCAGTGAGTCAGGAAGCTGAGCAGGGGGTCACTAGCTTGAGCCTGGCCTCAGCAACATGGTGAGACCCTGTCTGGACAGCAAGCCTGGACCTCGTGTCCACCGTGAGGGAGACGCCGAGGCATGAGGTGTATACCGTGGAGAGACCCAGTCTTAGAAACTAATAAACTTAAAAGATTTTCATCTGAATAAGACAAAACTGCTCGGGCTCTCTTCTTATGATCTGAACTTTTGGTGTCAGTACTGAGACTCTGCCACATTACAGGTAAAAGATATTATATTTCTTTTTCCACTAAAATAATAGAAATTTATTCCAAGGCA